TTGAGGACCACCTGTGTCATGGCGGGACTTGGATTAAGTCGCCCAACAAGTTTTTCGTCATGAATTGCATCTTCACCCTTTGTACTTCTATGCCGTGGCTAACATTGCCCATGTGACAATTGAAAATGGTTCGCCACTGTTTTCGGTCTAACTACGGTAGTGGATAACATGTCAATCGAATACTACGTATTCTATGTAGTAGTAGTCTTTGCACCATAACATGTGAGATTGTTAGTTTGGACCAATTCCCGCACCCTCCAGAAGATCCGACGTGTCACTACGTCTACCGATGGCTGAGTGCCAATTTACCCCTTATCTACCTCGCACCGGCCGCATGGCAACGGCTTCCGACTACGACTTAAAACACCCGGGGTGTCTTCGTGACCCCGGCGGTGCTGTTTGATGCCAGCGTTGACCGCTTGTGCTAGTGCGGCATCGCCGTCCTGTTTGGTATCTAGATATTGTTCTTGGCACTTGTGGGTCCAATACACATGTAGTGTAGTGAACCATCGGCGGTGAAAGTGTTTGCCTGGGCGTGGGGCGAGGGAGAGGTCGTTGGCCTATTGTAGGATTGATGAAGACTACCCGCCGCCAGAAAGAAGTCCGATGCCGAGAAACGAGCGGACGAAAAGGCGGGAGCTCGAGCTAAGCTACGTGTGGAACGACGGAATCGACCGGACAGTACTCCTGACAGCGAGGAAGAAGAAAATGAATACCAAGAAGAACAACACATGCCAGCTGAGCGGCGACGGATCAACAAAGCCAGTGGTTCCCCAAAGAAAAAGCATGTCGATCATGCCAAAGTGGCGCGTGCGGCCCATGATCGACGTATGCTGGACACCACCCTGCCAAGTAGTTCGGGATGGGGATCCCTTTCAAGTGGACCACCGACGCTAAGCAGCGGAGGATGGGGATCCAACTTCAACTCCAGTTGACCTTCATTGGTGGTGGCAGATGTTCAACCCCCCGGATCACCTGTGTGGACAGAACTTTCCTGGTGAGGACAAGTTACGGGTGAATGCGCAACGTATGGGTGGTGAGTGGCGACGGAGTGCTGTGGGGTGGATTCCTTCCACTGTCCGCATCCTCCTGAAGGGTACATGCACCTATGTTTGGCGAGTGCCTGTGGAACAACTCAGTGAGGACGACTACCGTGACCGCATTATTGAAATCGTCGGGCAACCAGCGACCAAGTGGACACCCACTAAGTCAGACATGCAAACATACTGTCGGGTGCTGAGTGTCGACCCCCATGGAGACGTGACCACTCGCCTGGTGTCATTTATGGAGCGGGTTGATGATGTAATCGATGAGAACGATTTACGTCAACAACTCAAGGACTCGACCATGCTGAGAACGTTCGTGAAGGTGGTAGCAGCGCGTGTCACACCAAGCTACCTACGCGACAGAGTGGAAGAGAAAATGCAAACGACCTGGTGGCCTTTGCGGATATCCTACGCGAGCAGCTTGATCGAACGCATGATGCGGATATGGTAAATCAGAAAAGGAACTGCTATGGTTCAAAACGTGGCCGTGAAGAAGACGACCAAGGGCGCCGCATTACGAAACATGCGAAGAAAGTCAACCAAACTGTTCGAGACCAGAGGGAAATGCGAGTTCAACGGGGCAGACCCACCGGCGAAGGTGAAGCCGTTGAAGGTGACCCCGAAGGATAGGTGTGTTCCTTACCGATGCAAAGGAAGGAAGCACAACCTCCTGGTGGAGAGGTTGTTTGCGCAAGAACTACTCGATGCAGGCGTGATCAAGAGCAACCAGGAAAATGCGTGGTGTAGCCCAGTGAACCCTGTTCTCAAGCCAAATAGGCTCAAGTAATTGAAATCGGCCGACAAATGGAGCGACGATGATGTGCTCAAGAACTATCGGCTAACCAACGACTACCGCGTTGTGTCAACTCACTAACCGAGCCAAAGGCGGAAACAGTGTCATTCCAAGGTACAATCCTCTGCGAAGCAAGAAAGCGACGGGTGTGTTTGGTCTGCCCAAGTGCTTTTGGCAGTTCCCTCTGCACCTAGACAACTGGGACATGTTGTCGTTCATGCTGAACGGATGAGTGTACACTCCGGATCGAGTGATGCAAGGCCATGTGGACAGTGCCCTCTACGTGCAATCAACGAACGAGGAGTGTTACAAAGACTTGCTCTACAAGAACATGCTGATCTGGATCGACGACATCTTTGTGCACGCCGACACAGTGGAAGAGTACGTGGATGCCCTCGAGTCATTCTTCGATTGAGTGGCCCAGTAAGCTTTCAAGTTGAGTCCGTCCAAGACCAAGCTGTTCACGGACCAAGTCAAGTGGTTTGGACGCATCATCAGTGGTGATATGACCCGAACGCATAGAACATCTGTGTGCGATCCCCTACCCTACGAATGCGGGAGAATTGCAGCAGTTTGTGTGCGCCGTGAACTGGCTGCGGGACTCAATGACAGAGTACGCACAAACCGTAGACCCACTGCAGCAGTGTCTGACGAAGGCCCTCGACAGCAAGGGCAAGAAGAAGCGGATCGCGTATGGTGTTCAGCTGGAACTAACCGATGGCGAGAAGCAAACATTTGACGCCGTTAAATCCAAGCTACGATCATCGGTTGAACTGCCTCACCCGCGTGTTGACGCCACGATGTGTTTGTTCACGGATGCAAGCGATTATGGATGGTTGATTGTGGTAACTCAAGTGGTGGCATTCGATGACGACAGCCCAGTCCAAGAACAACGTTACGAACTGCTCTTATGTCAGTCGGGGATGTTTGCGGGCGCCCAGAAGGCGTGGTCAGTCATACCCTATTGCGCGTGCGTGCGAGAAGCTCAACTACATACTTATACGACCTACGGGGTTCAAGATGTACTATGTCCACAAGAACTTCATCCATGTCTTTGCCCCGGGCGAAGAATGGAAAACGCACACACGCGGAAAACTCATGCGATGGGCTGTCATCATTGGCGGCTATCGTTATGAAATCATGCACATCGACGGCATCCACAGCCTTTGGGCGGATATGATGAGCCGTTGGGGTCAGCCGATACCAAGTCTGGCGACCAAGCGGGTCAAAATACGTCGGAGCCATGGCCAAGTGTCCAAGAAGATCAAAGCGCGCAAAGTCCCTCCAGCGGCATAACCAAAACTGCAGGCCGCTGGACAAGGACTTTGTGTGGCCATGTGTGGTGGACATCCGTCACGCACAAGACCAGCATGGCAAAGTCAAACCAAAGCGAGCTACCGTGGTGGACGGACTGTGGCAAGTGGACGAGCGGCTATGGATTCCGAGTGCGGCGAACGACCTGATCCAGCGGATCATGGTCGTTGCCCACTGCGGCAGCGCCGGGCACCGTGGATATGCAGCGCTGGTGGCTATGTCCACTTGGCCGACAGGGCCAGTGAATTCCTCCATGGCTGCTTATTGTGCCCTCATTTGAAATGGGGAAGCGTGGTCCATCGACCGTATACTCCGAGATGGCACGCGAAAGAGCGCACCGAAGGAATCCACTTCGACTACCTCTACATGGGCGAAGCATTCAGTGGAGCGAATTACGTGCTGGTACTGGTACTCAAAGACGATCTTACCCACTACTGCGAGCTCATTGTATGCGATGGCCCAGCGAGCCAAGTATGTGTGGATGCCCTGGTGGACTGGACGAAGCGGTTCGGAATGCCACGAGTCTGGGTCAGCGACCAAGGACCCCAATTCAAAAGCGTAGTCATGAAAGCGTTAGCCCACAAGTTCAAGGTCCATCATGACCTAACCTTGACCTACTGCCCCTGGCGCAATGGAACGGCTGAGCGGATGAACCGCGACATCCTCCAAGTGATGCGGGTCATGCTGCGAGAGTACCAGCTAGCGGAACAAGAATGGGACTGGGGACTGAGAAGATAACATAAAATATAAGATCAAAGTTAACCAACTTTCTTCGTCATATTTTTTCGTCATGTCTGTTGATGTTTGAATGTTAATTTATAATATTATAACATTTGAATGTCATATTATTTTTTAAGTCTTTGAATTGTAATATAATTGCTGTGAAAAGGCGCGAAGATCTCATTTATCCGGATAAATTTGAATTTTGACAGCAAGCTGTCATTCACAGTCAAGGAATGGTCGCACCGTGGACAGCTGACTGTGAAGTACAAGTACTTTAAATACTCGTTGAGAAGCGTAAGATCGACGGAAGCACAAGACGCACGAGCACTTGCACCTGAAGTATTCAAGCACTACAGACAACGAGGGAATTTAAGGCTCATCGAAGTTTTGAGTGTCACACACTTTTTTCAGCCAATCAGCAGCAAATCACGAAATACTTAAATTTCTATTGGTGAATTTTTATAATATGTTTCGAATTTCGAACTACGCTATCCAGTCATATCGTGAAATTTGCGCTACACACAGAACTTCGATGAGCCTTAAATTCCCTCGTTGTCTGTACAACAATCAGGTGTTTGCACTCCATGTGCGAAACACCAAGATGGCAAACGGTACGACATTTCATACATCACACGCATAACGTCGTTGATATGACGTTTTTACTATAGATCTCCGTGTATCAACCAAACGCATGAAGACAGCGCGATCTGCTAGTTACGTCGACGAGGATATCGATATCCCTCAATTGGGAAAACGACCAGCCTGTTCTCGGCGTCAGCCTCGTGTCGACTACACGTGCCTGATTGTGTGTAGCCTATGACCAACATCCGTGTCCGGATGTGCATGATGGTTGCGCAACCAAGTTATTCAGTGGCTGAGGTAGACTGTAGCAGATGACTGGTTGTGAGGAAGAACTTAGACATCATTAATAATGAAGTTCACTGTTGGATTTGTCATCGAGGTTACCGTTGTGAACACGGTAGCCGTGGGTTGTGAACACCGGCGCAAGACAACAAAGAATTCATTAACTGTCTTTTGACACGCTAGCAACTGAGCGCATGGAAGACCCCCCCCGAGTGGGAAGGACCCTGCTATGAACGTGGAGCTCCCTGGCAGCTACCACGATGAAGAACGCGAACCTCGATCCCGTTCGGATCGCTTCGCAAGTCCGACGGCTGGATCTGCATTCCAAGTCTGTTTCCAAAATCGCGTAAGGCCGCGGAGCCAAGAGACTGTACGGCGACTGTTTCGATCACCCCAAGGACGCCGGCAGCTGATGGCAGTGAACAAGTCATGAACGTACGGACGGCTGACCAGTCCGGCGCCTGACACCACGACGCCTACGGATGCCCCGGCCGCAGAGAAGGAAGCCGTGAAGCCGTGAAGCCGTGGACATGGGCCAGACGGACGTGTACCTGCACAACGCTCCGGCCCTTCCCGAAACATCCGGCGTTTAAGAGATCGACCAAGGTGGAACGCCGGACGTTTATGGCCGCGTATAACTTGTGCATCAGCCAGACAACGGCCCTTACCGTCAATGGGACTCAACCGTTCGTCATGCCGGTGAACGCATGTATCGATCCAGCTAGCAAGCAACGTATTGCTGACTGGGAGATGGGTAAGGACCCGTATGAAGTGACGGAAGCCGAATGGGTTGCGTGGTTTCGACAAGGTTATGACGTCGACCCACGGGCGCTGGACTCGCTCAAGAAACGGATCAAGGCGGCTATCGTGTTTGACATGTCCGTACAAGATGCCGAATAACGTATTGGGAATAGGTTGGACGGACTGGCAGCCGCCATCCGTTGTGACCGTCAGGAATGGGTGATCAAGGAAGAAAGTCCAGCGATCGTCAAGATCATTACGGACTCGGTCAACCCCGCGTCGCTCCATCGTGCCGTGACTGAGCAGATGGCGTTGACACGCAACAAGCCGTTGAAGAAGGACATATACCGTTTCGTACGGTGGTTGCGGGAGTACGCGATCGGGCACGAACGGTTCGTCGGTTACGAAGAAGATACGAAGCCGGATTCGCCTAAGACGAACCAAGGAGGTACGCACAGACTCCGTACGGCTCCGACTCAGTCGACACCGCGAGCACCAGCGACAGCGACGACGCCCCAGGCATCCACCACCTGGGCTGACGTCAGCGAACGCTTGTCTGAAGTGCAAATCTACGAGCCATCGTGTACGGGAGTGCCCGGGTATCACCGAAGAGGAAGCAGTGAAGCTCCTCAAGACACACGGACGAGCCATTGGCCATGGACGGAGCGACGGTAATCGTGGACGAAGGGATGGTGATGTGGAAACGGACACCGTATGGCCACAACGGACCCCGTACATACGATGCGTGTTAAATTGGTGGCTACGGTAGAAGGTGTGTTGACCGTAAAGGCCTCGTTGCTCGACTCCGGAGCTGACTTGTCGGTGGCATCTGGTAGCCTCGTGTCGACCTTACTGGCAGCGGGTGCTGCGCCAGAGATCACGACCATGAGACCGTTTTGCCTACGGCCATACGGAGCGGACAGTCGACCGGTCGTCGTGACTATGCAAGTCCGTTTCGGAAGTTTGGAGTTCAAGACCGGATGTGGACCCTTGATGTTGCGCGGGCTGCGCGTATGGGTCGATGAAGCTGTGGCGGGCGTGGAACTGACCTTAGGTCTGCCGGTCATGCTGAAGCTGGGTTACAGCGACAAGACTTTGCTCGAGAACGGGCGCCGTCAGCAAGCGGAATGGGACTTTGCCGACCAATCGATCGCGACACCCGGTGAGGTGATTCATCGAACCCTCCGTATGGAAGAGACGATGGTCGACGACATCGACGACGACGAAGGGATGTGCTGCACGACTCCAGGCTGGGGTATGGACCCGCACCCCACAGACGGCCAAGTCGACGACGATCGGGTCCGTACGGTGCTGATGAGCAAAGTTGCCGACATCGCTTCCGAAGGCATGGATGAAGAATCCGTACGGAGCTTACAAGACGTACTGGTGGAGTTAAGGGACGTATTTCGCTTGAAGTTCGGTTGGGACCCTTCGGTCAAGGTAGAGCCGTTGAAGGTGCATCTGAAGCAGATGGACCAGTCGGATGCGGTGGCGTACTGTCAAGGCGTTGTGGACGAGCTGTTCGGAGACTTGCTCATGCACAGTCTGCTCGGTTGGCTCGACGACCTGCTGGGATACGCTGAGTATACGGACGATTTGCTACGTTTGCCACGTCAAGTACTGACCGTATGCCAGATGTACGGTATCAAGTTGCATCCGGGCAAGTGTACGTTCTTCACGACGAAGACCGTATCGTACGAAAAGGAGATCTCCGCCAACGCATGCTCTGGGCAGAGTGCAAGGCTTTTGCGATTTGGAGCCGCCACAGACGGCCGCGGACCTCCAACAGTTCCTGTGCGCTACGAACTGGATGCGTGCGAACATCCCTCAGTATACAGAGCTGGTGGCCCCGTTGACGAAACCTACGGACATCTCTACCAAGCCGGCCGACTCCCGTAAGAAGACCGCGTTGACCTGTGTGGCGTTGAGTTCCGTCGGTTGGTGCGACGACCATCAGGCGTGTTTCGACCGTATCAAGTCGACATTGAAACGTATGGGCCTTTGGCTCACCCAGACCCGGACCGTATGCTTTGCTCTATACGGACGCGAGCGAAGGGCATTGGGGAGCGATCGCAACTCAAGTACCGGTCGAGGATTTTGCGTTGGCGATGATCGACCAGCGGCACGAGCCGTTGGCGTTTCTGAGTGGAGCATTCCGTGGCGCGAGCGAACGGTGGACTATCGTGGAGAAGCAAGCGTTTGCGGTGGTGAGTCCTGCAAGTGACTTAAGTACATCCTCATACGGCCAGGCGGGTTCCGTCTGTTTACGGATCACCGTAACCTTGTGTACATGTTCAACCCTTTGGGGTCGAACTCCAACATGGCGAAGTATCAGGCGCACAAACTTCAACGTTGGGCGCTGACGATGACTACGTTCCCATACGTGATGGAATGTGTGGCCGGCGAAGACAACTTATGGGCCGATCTGCTCAGCCGTTGGGGAAGTGTTCCCATCGAGGCTCGTGGCGCCCGTAGGCAGAAGTTGGCACTTGTCTCACCCTTACGTACGTACACGCTCCTATGGCCTACGGCGGACCGTATTACGGAGCTGCAGCGGGTTCATATGGTCAGTTGTCGGAGTGTTGGAGGTGGGTTGACGGCGTGGCAGTGCGGATGACATCACAGATGGGTGCAAATCGTTGGAGTGTTGCGCAGGTCCAGCCAAATTTGGTACGAAGAGACAGAAGGCTGAGTAGTATGGTGCTTTTGTCATTGGTGATGTCACCTACCCACCTGACTTTGATGACGTGGGAGCGGTTGATGGACATGAGGGTAGTGCCAAGAGAAGGGGTGAGGTAGGCCCAGATAGGCCAGTCGTTTGGATGGTGTGGACCGCTAGCTATGGGTTGGTGCCATTGCGTGGCGATGGTAAGGGTTGGTTCGAAGGTATCCAGAACCTGAAGCATTGTACCTAGGAAGGTACTGTCCGAGGCGGGTGGGTGGATGCGAAATGCAAGTGGGTGGCCCGTGAGGCCACTCGCTATTTGGTGTGCCTCAAGGGATTCCATGAGGATGTCGTGGGCGGCGAGCCAGGTTGTTGGCAATCCGGAGGAATTGGTAGAGCCGTTGGATGTGGCTGAAGCGTTCACAGTGGACGAGACCTAGTCCATCAGTGGGGTCGTTGTACCATGCATTGGGATAGTAATGTGGTAAACGGAGAACGAGGCGCGCCGTCTTACAGAAAAGGCTGTCGAGGGCAGGGGTGATACTGTTGGCGTCACAGATGGCCGTGCGGTAGAGGACACTGGGGATCCAGACAGAGTTAATGATGTACTGCAGTTCCTTTTTCCCGAAGCCGCGAGGGGAAATGGCGTCGGCTTGGGTGTTAAGTTTAAGCCAAACTGTGAGGGTGGTCTCCTCCCATTGGTTGTGGGTGCCTTGGTGGATGCCGTGGTGCATAAGCCCTCGGAGGGTGCCACTACATGGATGCGTTGGGGGTGTCCAAGCCCATCATTGAGGGCGATGGCAGGGTGAGCCTGGGGGAGAGGTAGAGGAGAGAGGATTTGTCAGCGCCGAATACGCCGCTCGATGCATCGAGCCATCCGAAGGCTGTGCGAAAGTCGATCTGGCTGGCCCCAAGAAAATGGGCCATGAGCTGGCGGGGAAGTGAGGGGACGTCCAGTTTACGGTAGATGTACTCCATGCCCATCCTAGGATGCGATCGAAGCATTTAAAGCAATCGTTGGAAAGAGGAAAAGCTCTTCCTGCCGGCGTTCTGCGCGTTCGATGAGTAGGGAGGTAAGCAGTTCCCGCTGAAATCCCTGTTGCATCTCCTCGTTGGGTATGCAGGGGGAGATGTAATCCCGTATAACGGTGAAGATGCGGTTGCTGAAGGCACTCTGGACAGTGATGGGATGCCATGGAGGCAGGTCAGGGTCGAGGTTAACCACACCTTGGGCGGTAGCCGATTTTGCGAGGTAGATCATCTGTTTGCGTCCGAGGGTCGGGGGGACAAGGCCTGTGCGTAAGATGAGGTTGATGTTGGTACGTTCCCTTTCACGGATGTATGCTGGGGCAGCAATCCAGAGTTCCTGTGATACACCTCAATAACCAGGGGACACACGCGTACGTAGACTGCGATCACAGCGTGTTTGCATAGCGTCATCGTAGTCATGGTGTCCTATATGGTGTCCGCTGGGGTTTGGAACGCTGGCACTACGACGTCTGGGTGATCCATATCACGGAGGAGCCATTCGCGGAAAAAGTGCGGAACGCGCTGGCGGTCAGATTCCAGGGCTGTGCCGAGATGTCTAGGGCGAGTGGTTTTCTCGGTAGGGGGGCCCAGTTGTCAAGCAGATGTCGGAGTCCTGCTGCCACCTCTTCCCGGTCGGAGCTGTACCGCGAGGGGTCATCTGTTGTACGTACGATGTTACTCTGGATGGTAATAGGCGGCGTGGGGGCACCGAGTGCCGATCGAAGGAATTTCCATGTTTTGCGGCCGTTTCGCACTGGTGTACAGGATGTCATAAATGTTTTAGAAAGCTCCTTCGAGCCTATCGGTGGTGTCCATGTCGCGGCGGCATGTGTGTGGGGGGCGGAAGCGGGGGAGTTGGCCGTCGAGGAGGAGTTTAGAGGCGTGCGCGCCAAACGTGGAGATATCCTCCTTCGTGAGGGTGCATGCGTTGACGACCCTTATGGGCTTGTGAATGCCTGGACAGAGGTCTACGGCCACAAAGGGGGTGCCAACATTATCGCTGGAATGGATGATGTTGAACTAGATGCCGCTGGCACCCAATTTGTGGGCGAAGCAGGCGATGATGTAGTTGTCGTACAGTGCTACGGCAATGTTATTGCGAGTGTAGTTGTGTCGTTGTAGGTTGGGGTATCGGTAGCGGAAGGTGGAAGAAAGACCGATACGCTGTATCCATTGCTGGAAAGAGATGCCCTTGTCTGTGCTGGGGATAGGCCGTGGTGTTGGAGCAGATCGAACTAGGTGGTTGGTGCCATAAGTATTCAAATCCCCTCCCATGACCACAAAGTGGTCTGGTCCTGTGGTCTGTGTGGCGGACTGGGTAAGCATTACCATTCCTTGTCAGTCTCGTCGCGGTGAGCAGCAGGGGTGTCGTGGCAGTACGTGCCTATGAGGGTGAGGAGGGAGCATTTGCAAGGCGGATACTCATGGAGATGCTGCGTTCCGATGGGGAGTAGTTTGTGTATCCGCCATCGATGCGTGAGTGCCAACGTTGGATGTCATATAGAAGACAACTCTCTGGTTACTGATGGACTTGAGGTGTGGTGTGAGGGAGCCACTGGGTGTGGGGGTCCAAAGTTGTGTGGCCTTGTGTGCGGGGAGGTCGCAGTCAGCGATAATGAGGAAGTCCAGCGCACTTGTGTGGAACCAGGTGGTCAGTTCTTCTCCCAGTTTACCATACGTGTTTTAACAGTGGTCGATGCAATACCCAGGCTATCTATCAGGCAGTTCAGAGGAGATGGCGTGCCTGGGTCGCGTATATAGGCTTCATTCTCCAGGGATTCACGCCGAAGGATGTTTTCCAGTTGGACTATGGTCGTGTTCGTGCCAGGTGAGAGGAGAGAAAGGCGTTGGATCCGCCAAGTGCCTTGGCCGCGTTTGTTGCCGGAGGTAGTTCGTATTGGGTGTCTTTCGAGGGTGAGGTTGGAGTGCTTCCACAATGCGGGCATCGAGTTGTTCGGAGTTGTTGGAGTCATCCGAGGAATACAGATCAGGCTGGTGCTGAATGTGAGGACGGGAATAGGTGGGTGCAGCGGTGATGGTAGTGGTAGTCGCTGTGTCGGGGGTAATGGAGATGAGGGCAGAGGCCAAGGGGGTAGCAGGACCAGTAGACTCAGTCTTTTCTGCCCAACGCGGGGTTGAAGTGTCTGTGAGGGGTAGGTGGTAAGGAGTGGGATATCGCGGTCGGCGAGTGTAATGTTTCTTGACTGGGGTTTCGGGAGGTAGCTGGTGTGGGAAAGGTACGTGGTGGACGAGAGCGTGACGCGTGGGGGATTCGTGGTTACCAGGTTCGGAGGCAGGGGCTGTAGGGTATAGGGGGAGGGATGTGGGGATGAGGTAGCTGGATGCGTGTGAAGGTTGACCGTGGTCTCGTGAGTTGTTGCACAGACTGTGGGAGGACTTGCGTGGGTGAGGGGGCGCTACAGACGCGGTTGCGGTTGCCTGTGGGTGAATCTGAACATTGTGGATGGTGGTGTCTGCTGTATCCCGGGGTCCGTTTCATTTCATGCAACATCAAGGTAACCTTACAGACGAAACCAGATTACTGTCAAAGCAGGGCCTCACAACGCATACCGGTATAGACGAAAGTACTTCGGAGTTTATACAATCGTTAGTACAAAGTAAGAAAGTAAGAACAATGTATTGTGTGTTCTACTGAAAATTTCCACCGACAGTTTATAAATCGCCCCGAGCAAAATGCCCGCAAATTCCCCCAATGACAAAAAGAGGGGTTTCCCTCACCAAAGAATCGATAAGAATCACCCTATTATGACGTTCATTCCTGAGCCGAGTGAATGGACGATCCAATCTTGCAGCATTAACACCTGAGCGCGTAGGACTGCTATGCGAGTCTCTTCGTATCCCCAGCACACATACCAAAAGTGCATACAGATATCTCAAGAACACCAACTAGACGCCCGCGCTACCGCAACATGTGACTACATCTCGTCGTACTGCCCAGGCAGTTGTGGAAAACTGAGTTGGATATCCATTTTCTGCCCAAATTTTCGAAATTCTAACCAATCATATAATCGCGGGTATTTGTTGGCGATATTCCACAATTGGCAAGGAAAGCACAATACTATTAATAGTACTACTCTGGTCCGAAGTAGCTGTCATGTTAGACCTCAAAACGAAGTCTATTACATGTATCGCTCACAAACTCATTTTCGATTCTGATTGGTGAAAATGAAAGCTGATGATCTTCTCTTTGATTGGGTACTTAAAGTAGCTTAAATCTCGATGACTTGAAACTGCAGAACTTGAAAAACGGTCCTTCAAAGTAGAAACGACCCGCCAGTGAATCAAATATATCAAACCCCCGTTTCTTCCAGAGGTTTAACTCGTTGTTTCCAATGCCCTTGATGTACTCTCAAAGCGCTGCATTTGACGTCAAACATTTTTTAACAAACACCAAGCATCATACCATGGCCATAGAGCCTTCGTTAGACGTCCGGGGACAACGAACTCGAGCCAAAGACTTAAGGATGTATACTTGTGGCACTTAGATCAAGCTACGCGCATTGTGCTGTGTGCAGGCAGGCCTTGCAGTGTTAAAATCTTCCTAAGTCCTTGACTTGGTCCATGCCACATTAACTCAAAGGTCGTGGGTTAGATACCTGGCTTCCCCGGATTATCTCCGCAAGGATTTATCCGTCCCTCCCTGCGGAATCAGGGGGTGTACGAAGATGAGGACCGAATTTCGAAGAAGATTGGTCGAAGCACGAGGTATCATGCGTTGAGCGAAGTAAAAACCGATGATTACACACCGCGCAGCGCGTTACAATTGACGAAGAGGTTCCACAACATGTGGTTCTAGTATCGGCCCTCACGGAGGAATGCCTTTAAAAATGTATTATTAGTCTGACTGCACCATGGATAATAAATAAATACTACATTCAGTAGTACTACGTACTACGTAGTAGGATGCAACATGACAGCTATTTTGGACCAGAGTAGTACTATCCTATTACGTGTACTAGCGTTAGTACTATTTATTCGAACTACCAGTAGAACGTAGAACAGTACGGTATATGAATTTGATTTGAATTTACACTACAGTTAGTATCAATATGATTTGAGTTTTTCTGATAACGATATACACGTGTACTTACTACTCGGACGTTAACGTTAACTATAAAACCAATGGGTAATTTATAGATGGAGGGTGGCACCATACGACTAGAACTCATTCCTGACGAAGGCCAATCACAACTAGCGCATGGGTTAACGAGTACCCACTATTCCACATGCCGCCTTCAGTATCTCATCGAGATGGATTGGTGGATGCAGACACCTTGGTCAATTCCTTACGGGAATCCGGCTGGTTGCATTGAACGACTTGCACGCGTTGTCTTCACTTCAATGGTTGACACTTTTGGCCAACTTCATTTTCCTTTTCGCTATACGATGGTCAAAGTCCTCATCTCCCTCAGCGTGTTGGCCGCTGCCGCTACGGCTGGCTCCGTCACGGAACTCCCCGAGTCTGTGACCAAGCTCATCGACTACTCCATCAACCCCTGCGACGACTTTTACCAATATGCGTGTGGAACATGGCACAGAGATACTGAGATCCCCCGGGGCAGACATAAAATCGATACGTTGTTCTACGCGATCAAGAACCAAAACGACGCCGTCTTGACGAAGATTTTCTCTGACAACACGACTAAGCTTGGTGAGTTTTACAACTCCTGTTTGGACACGGCTAAGCTATCGTCGCTTGGTCTGACTCCCCTGGAGGACTCGTTCAAAGCCATTCGGTCGGCCAACACCACGTTGGACCTCCTCGTCGTGGCTGGTGAATTGGTCAAGAACGGCATCCCTGCCTTCGTGGATATCAGCTCCAGCATTGACGACAACGATACGACCAAGAACGCCCTCTTCGGTTTCCGAGCCCCCCTGCCGCTGGATCAATCATACTACACCACCAGATCCAAGTGGGAGGCCGTCGAAGCCGACTACAAGGTGTACATTGCGTCGGTGTTGCAGCTAGCTGGCTACACTGCTGAGAAAGCAGCGGCTGCCGTGCTGGTGATCATCCGTTTCGAGCAAACTCTGGCCGGTATCGTTGAGTTGGTGGGGGCCGCTGGGTCTCCGTATACTGCGTTGACGTACAGCCAACTGGACCACAAGTACCCGCTGCTTGTCGGCTCGTGGCTTAAGGCCAACGGCTACGACGTCCGCGACCAGTGGAGTAGTTCGAATGACTGGGTGGGGTTTTACGACCTGACCTACTTTGACAAGGCCGAAGTGTTGCTGAAGAACACGAGCCTCGACAACCTCCGCACCATCGTGGAGTACAAGCTCATCCACGCCACGTCGAACCACCTGACCCCTGAATTTCGCTCGACGAACTGGAACTTCTTCGGCAAGAAAATCGAAGGCAAAAGCGAGGAACCTACTCGTGAAAAGTACTGCAAGTCTGAGACGGGCAAGACCGTGGGGGATCTCTTGGGCCAGTACTTCTTAGACGTGGTATGGTCGGCTGATACAGCCAAGAAGGCCGACGACCTGGTCAAGGCCTTGAGGTCGTCCTTCTCCACTGGCATTGCCACCGCCGACTGGTTGGACAACTCGACCCGTGCCAATGCGCAAACGAAGCTGTCCAAGCTTGTACACTTGTTGGGTGGCCCGGAGAAGCCACAGCTGTACCCCACGCTGACATTCGACTCGAAGTCGTATTTGAACAACCGGTGGAAGGTGTCTCAGGTGAACATCGACACTAACTTGAAGCTGAAGGGTCAACCTGTGGACAGGCGCAATTTCGGCGTGCTCCCCCATGAGGCGAACGCGTACTACGGCCCCCACGAGAACCTAATTGTGCTCCCGGCCGGTATTTTGCAAAAACCATTCTTTGACGCCCAGTTTGACGCCGCCCAAAACTTTGGTTCCGTCGGGATGTTCATCGGACACGAAATTACCCACGGGTTCGACGACTTTGGCCGCGATTTCGATGGCGACGGAAACTTGAACCCGTGGTGGTCGAACGCCACCAACGCTGCGTTCAAGACGAAAGCCCAGTGCATTAGCGACCAGTACGCCAACTTAGTCGTCAAGAGCGAATTCACTGGCGCTGTGTTGGGCAACGTCAGCAACGAGTTATCTTTGGGCGAAAACATTGCGGACAACGGAGGGCTCAAAACCAGTTTCCGCGCGTACCACGAATACTTGAGGGAGTTCCCGTCGCAGTACACCGAAGAAGCAGGCGACAAATTGTTCTACTTGTCATACGCCCAAGCCTGGTGCTCCAAGAGCACAGATATCTACCTCCGCGCGATTTTGAAGACGAAGTACCCGCCCTTTCGGTACCGCGTGACAGGGGCATTGCAAAACAACGCTGAGTTTGCTCGTGTGTTCCAGTGCCCGACCGACTCGTATTTGAACCCATCCAAGAAGTGCTTGTTGTGGGAATAGGGTTCATGGATACGAAAATATATGTAGCGTTGTGCATTCGTAAGGAAAAACTAAGAAAACGACGTTAAGTGTGTTGCTTTCCATGTGCGGCGCTATCAATGTATACACCGCAACCACATTTAGTGTGGATTCGAATATATAGTGTGGACTCAAAATTAGTGCGGTTGGTTGGTCCGCACTATCATCTGTGTGGATGGCCCGCCCATATCAGCCGATTCGGAAACAGTGTTACGCATGCCGTGCGCAAGGACGGTTCGTGGTCGGGCAAGTTCAAGAACCCGGGCAAGACATTTGTGATCGTGCGCAGAGGACGGCGCAGGAGATGGTAGAATCTTCTACCATCTATAATGAATTGATAGCGTTCAAACTACTACGTTATCACTAAGCTACGCGCAACCAACCAATGTTTGGTTGGAGTTCACAGGGTGTCGTTCAAGTCAGTGGACGACACAATGTATCTTCGGGAGAACACTTTGGCCTCGCGAGAGGACATCTTGGTACTGTATCTTCGAGGGGACACCTTGGCTGACGACGTGTCGACTAGTCATCTGGATTGTAGGGTACGGTTACAACATTCTTCTTACAGCTCGCTGCTCAAGCCGTCCAGCAGGTCGACGGGATGCGTGACAGCAATGGTCTGACATACGCGCCCAAGGTCATGATCAAATGCGGCATTGCGCTCGACATCACAGGTCGATGGCATGAGAAGCAGGTCACACCCGACCTGTCAGCAATTATAACCAAGTACCCCCCGCACTACGATGGCGGGCAAGTTCCTTCCCCGAGCTCATCCATTTGATTACTCCTACAATAAACATTGACTCCTTTGCATCCCTCATGGTACGTAGCTACGATTTTCTGCAGCACAGGTGTCGCTGCATCTAGTGGAAAGACAAAACCCGATTATTTTGCATTCTGGTGTGTCCGCCCACATTAATTCCGCATGTTCTGAAGTAGTCCACATCAATTGTCCGAGCACATAATTTGCGTGGATTCAGAATTACTCTGGCCCATACATACTACTAATACCTGTGATTCCTGTAAATGAGAGCTTCAGGATTAGTGTGGTCCACACTAAATGTGATTGACGGAGTAGTATGTGAGATCACCCTTATAGGATTCGCTTACCGTAGTTGTTGGGGTCATGAACTTGACAGTGAGATAAAGTCAACAACTTGACGAGTTTGGTACGCACACGACATCAGGTTTGTAGGTTCGGATTGATATATAAAAGGCCTTTTTTGGGCACTACATAGTTTCAGTCGCCTGTGGGGTTGTCGAAACCAGGCCTTATCAAAAAATTATTTAGGTATAAATAATTGCAATACAATATAGACTAGGTGAGCCCGTTGCTCTGCCGCCGGTGTTAATTGCCGGTTGGAGCAAGATATGTAGTTTTTGTTGCTGCTTATTGTTGTTGTCATAGTTGAGCCTGGCATAGTTTTCAGACATTTTCTGTTTGTAGTATGCGTTTTCAAAACTCTCCTATCTGCGGTAGAACGGGATCCGGTATTTTGCGGGATGGGAATCAGCCCTTTTGCGGTGTGGTCCACTGAAAGTAGTATAGGCTGCGGTAAAAACTTTGCAGCTCTGCTAAGACTAAGCTGTGCATCTCAACTCACCAACCCTGTGATCTTTGACGCGTGGCGTGTTGACTTGAAAGCAGTTAGCTCTACCTCTCATGAACATCCAATAGCACCGCCGTTTGACACGCGACGTGTATGTCGGAATACATGTCGGTGCCAACTTGT